CAGACGTCAACAACACACGAATTGTATTTTTGTTTTTAGTAAATCGTAACTTTCAATCATTATTTCGTTTCAAAATCGTCGGTAACGAGTTTGGCGTATATTGATGTATTTTGGTTTATTATCATTATGCGTTAGGTATATCGTATATGATAGATATAGGAACTATGTCGATTTCATAATACCAGTTATGTTTATATTTGTAAATTTGATGAATTACTACCTATATTTCCATTTACCCATGAACTATAATTGTCGGGAACCTATATTTTATTTTATCGACGAATATCTATATAATAATGTAATATTATGTTCAGTCGTATATTTGTACGTTGATTGATTATCGACAGATATCTGTTTTTTTCTCTACATTATTCTATTACAGTGACTTAATAATTATCAACAAAAAAACCGCATTCTCGGAATTACGAAATTCAAAACAAATATAACACTTCACGATTTATTTCATAAGCTATCATCATACTCGTTCTATTGCAGACGAGCTATATAATCGGTAACAAATGAAATCGGCCATGTAGGTATATTCGCATAATACTGTTACGGTGGACCCATACCTCTATACAATTAAATTCGTCGTCAATTATTCGGAAAAAAAAACAGTACGTTAACAACAAGTTTTTTACCACGAACTACGTGTCGAAACGCATAGTATACATTATAATATACTTAGGTAACGAAGAGCGTTAAAGTCACCCGCGCCGCCGGTCATCACTGTAATAATATTATATACAAAACGGTGGACTCGCCAACGACCGCATCGCACTATAATGCATAGGTATAACTGGTATAAGCCATACCTATAATATTCTGACACACACAGATATTTATCGAATACGGCTGTAAGACAAATAATCCACTCACATTACCATGCAGGCTATGAATTTAAATATATTATAGCCATAATACTCACTATTAATATAAAAACCTTTAAATATAAGCACTCGCTCTTATATTACATATATCTATAATATTAGTATATATTATGTTATAAAAATGAATTGGAAAAATATATTATCATGCATGCTCTAAAATTCCTAAAATATGCAAATCAGAGTTTTTTATTTGAATAGTGGTAAATGTTAGTAGGTACTCAAACTATTGATTTCGAAATAAGGATAAACAAAACATTCAAAATGCATTAGACCCACAGTTAGTAATTTGTATATATTATATAGTTTAAGCGCAAAACGCTCTTTAAACACGTCCTGATCACGAAATTAAAAATCGCAATCCTATAATAGTAGCTCGTACAACAATAAATTCTACTTATGTTAATATTAATAATTTAAACTATTGTATACGACTGTTTATGCTCGCGGATCGACGCTGTTCTATGCCGTCACAAATCGTAAAACCGAATAAAATAATTGCCAAACACCGCCGCCGCACATTATATTACCTTATAATAACCGTGTCGTATTAATTTCGTTTTATTATTCTCTTTATTTTCATATTGCGCGAACGTGGGCGCTCCGATAGCTTAAAATAATATTATATTATAGGCTCGTACAGTAGGTACGATGGTAAAAATAAAATATAAATCATACATAATATTATTATACACGAGCGATCACTGTATTATAATTTATTATAGCGTCATTAGACATGGCGACGGTGGCAAACTGCACATATTGCAGCAATATAACACATTTTATAGTTATAGCTGTGTATATGCCGTATGCATATATTATGATAAAAAAACAATTACGATAATAAGGAGCGCGGTGTGCGTCTCGTATAAATACGTGAAAATGAATCTCTATAAAGCCAAAAAATATTAAAATCAAATCCTAGTGCGATCAATTAATTTACGACAAGAATACGAATCTACAGACTTTTCACATCCAACGATAAACATACTGCAGCTATGAGCTATATGATTATGAGCTGTACATACATTTCAGTAGGTAAACTCTCGTAATATATAGTTGTTGGTCATATTATAATATCTACTTGGGAACAACGTGCGTGATTAATTTTGCACCTGACCGCTGCAGTAGTTATCTGGTGAAGACTATATAAAGCTGACTAGATAATTCCTTTTCGTTTAATTCAGTTTGATCTATAATACGACAATGCCGTCGTAGTTGTGGCTCGGATACCGCTATGTATATAGACTCTCCGTCTTCCACCAGACACGTATAGTCCGACGAAATACAAAATAAAGGTGTATCTAAATATAGTGACAAATATGACATTGTATAATATTATTCATATTAAATCTACAAGCATGTACGCTAAACGCCTAGAGCGGAATGTCGTCGGTAAAGTCGGTTCAGCGGACCGTTCCCATTTATTCACGTAGGTAATAATTATAATATTATACATAGGTACAGCTGCAACCATGCGATCACGAGGAATATTCAGACAGTCTCTTATATATCGTCCATTATGTACATCCGTATAGAACGACCATCAATCACATCCTCGTCAGACTGACACTCGGGTTGTATCACATATTGTATATATATTATGTGTATAGCATTGTAGACGGTATATGCTGGTTATGTATAATATTATATTGATTTTGAAACACACTGATGTTAATTATTAATACTCTTTTATACGATTGTCATAATAGAAGTCAGCTTTTGTCGGAACGTTGTTATAATAATATGTTCATTAATCATTAATAATGTGTAATTTTTTCTTAACTCTGTTGTAGTTGTGATAAACAATAACACACTAGTGCTCGAGTTAGCCAATTATATATACATAAAATATGAACTCGAAGGTTAAGCAAGGGAAGGTATTTCTGTTTATTTTGTCCTATTTCAGTAGACTTTTCTCATCACTTTGATGCGTGTGTATTATTTTAATTTTAAATACGATGTTCTGTTCACGTTTTATCTTATGTTCGAGTACCTACAATACAAATGTACGAGTCAATATAAATTTACTGACAAAATGAATATTATAATATTATGTTCCAAGCTCAACAAGTACAGTAAAAAGTTTGATTTTAAATATTATAATCTATAACATTTAATATACCTATATATTCCTACTATAATCTTCTAAATAATAATTCCATTTAGGTGACGTAAGGAAATAAATATTTATTCGTTTATTAACATAGTGTTAAAAAAAAATCAGTTATGAAACCTTTCAAACTCCCTCCATTAATTTTCCAAATGCCAGCGTCGAAGCGCACTCTCTCATTCATTGGTGGTTGTGCAAGGGAGTATTATTATAATGAATGCACATTGCAAATAATATATTATAATAATAATATATACAGTCGTCGAGGAATTATTATTATCTGATCGTCACGTGTACTTCGCCCTAATCGATTTTATGCGATCCAACGAAGAATCACTGAGATCGGGTTACGAAAATAATAATAATTATACAATCGTCAACAGCTATTTTATAGCATTACAATCGAATGGCTGCGCCGGTGTGAAATCCGACAGTCCGGCCATTTCCAATCGGACTTACGACGACGAAATGGCATAAAAATTGTTAGGAGTACCTCGCTTTGTGGGTTCTATTATAAATGTAATATACCAACATTATACCGCGAAGGATTTCGTTCCTGCGGCGGGTCCTGAGCTCGGTGACCCTGAAGGGGGGGGGGTCGGGTTCGTGACTGGCGCGAACGTTCTCACGGCATTATAATAAGACTCCCGCGATCTGTTCATCGTGACGATCTTTTCTTCGTCGACGTAGGGCGCGCGATCCGATCGATATAACTAGATCTCCGGGCGACGCGTGTAATTATATAATATTAATCGAGACGACGATTTACAATATTCATTCGAATTGGTTCTGGAGATTTCGCGTCAATAATATTGTGAAACGCATTCGGTTAGACTCACTATCGGCCGCACACGAAATGGCCGGATTATAAACCGACATGTATATAAACCGCCGAGTAGTTTGTAAAGTGTACCATATCGGTGTTGCCGCTGATTGTATAATTTTACATTTTTTTTTTTGCCACAGTTTTCATATACAGCCCACGAAATGTGAGCAGATTTTATAGGAACCACCCTCCCTGTATAAATAGTAAATACGTCGGAAAACGATCGCTCGGATCACTGCACGATCGACGATCGAGTGTTATTTTTAATAATTTATTTTTCGCGTCTTCTTCGCGCTCACCGCTCTATTCCTAAACCAGCTCCGCGACGACGATTATTATATTACTATTATGCATTATTTATAACATAATAATATATTAGACTATTATGTACGTATACACTACCTGTAGCCGGACGACTGTGCACCAGACGACCGTGACATTTAAAACTCAATTTTTCCCACAGCGTCCTATTTGATATTTTTTTTTTCGCTTTTTTCGATTCGTCTGACGCACGCTCGCGAACTTTTGGAACGGACGGCCAGTGTTGTTCGCAGTGAAAGCTCCGATGACGATTAACGATCGATGACGCAATCGTTACGGATAAAAACAATACGAAAACCGTAGGAGTAGATACGCTTATTTGCTCATACGACACGACAGTCGCACGTCGGTACATACCGAAGAAGACTCGCGCTGGTATGTTATGACGTAATGGCAGCCACTCCGGTTCTATTGTTATGCAATTATAATCGACGGCTGTTTCGATCCTCTCCTAAACATATTATAGTATTATTATTATTTATTTATACGTAATTATATTCGTAAACGGGAATTATGGTGGCAATTTTGTATCGTCCGCGGTCGTGGCGGTGTATAATATAATATTATTACGACACTGGAAATCGCTATCGGGGTTCAGCGCTAGTCACATTATATATGGTTACAATATATGGATACAACATTTAAATAATAATAAAAAAAATTACATCCTCAACCCGTCGTCGGTGTCGTATAATATTATGTATTATATGCACGCGGTCGCTGCAGCGGTGGCGTTTTACCTTTCACCTTTTCGCGGTCATTAATAATGCATAATAATATATTAAAATATGTTTAATTTTTACGTGTTTCAGATACTATACATTGATAATAAAAGAAATATATTATATTCATCATGTTGTCCGATAATACGATGACGGCCATCAAGATATGGACGTTCCTCACGCTGTTCACCTGTAATTATTATTTTTATTTTCATTATTCAATATTAGAATATATTAGATGTATAATTGTATAAGCACCGATCGTAACGTTTTCGTCAAACGAGTCGTATCAAATAGCTATACTTTACTAAAGTGTGTCGTTTCACCGTTTATACTGACACCTGTTTATACTGACATAGGTGTGGTGAATGGTCAGAGGAAACCACCAAATTACCAGCAAAATGAAATGCCACCGACCAGTTTCAGCTGCAAGGACAAAATCGTGGGCGGATACTACGCGGATCCCGAAACGTCTTGTCAAATGTTCCACGTCTGCGTGAACGTCGTCGGGACCGGGGTGAGTAAATCGCAATGGATCTGCAGAGCTTGTCCTCTCAGTCGACAGCTAAACGCCGTCGTTACTTTCCCGAAATGGACAGAACTGTATATTAATACATCGTTTATAGGTTCAAGATTTTCGGTTCCTGTGCCCGAATAACACGGCTTTTGACCAAGAAAATCAGATTTGCGACGACTGGTACAACATCGACTGCGAGGCGGCCACGTTGTATTACAGCGACAATTTCGACCTGTACAAGCTCGGTAAGTTGTTGCTTAAAAATCAATTATAACTTGGTCCCCTATGGAATTTTTCTACAACATTATTAGGTACATTAGTATTTATTTAAAGTAGACAAATATTGAACATTACATATTTGACAAAACAAAACACTAATATTTATTTGCGTCCGGTTACAAAATAAATCAAAAAGGTCATAAATTGTATTTGGAAATAGGTAAATATTGGAATTCCACCACTGTCGTATGGAACTTATACGCTGATATAATTTTATATTAAATTAAAATTTTATAATTTTGAGTGTTTTTGCGATGCATTCATCCACTCATCCACACCATTTGATTTAATTTCCTTCATCTCCCCCCCCCTTCAATTTCTAAAAATAAAGCTTTCAATCTATAGTGAATTTTCAATAAGGTGATACCTACCTATATATTATGATTGTCTAGTATTCAACTTATAAAATATATAAAACTAATGTGTGCTGTACACCACATTTTGATTTATTTATATAGAATACGAACTAATTAACCATAAATATCATAATTAATTCAATGTGCTGATTGGTGGAGAGAGAAGGAGGTGATAAACCACACCTGACTCCCAACAATAAATGGCAATAATCAAATACTAATCCATATATGTTTGCTTAGGTTTTAGCGGTGCTCCAGCTTCATCAGCCAAAGCCACACCAATACCATTGGGCCCATCCAGCTCATCACCGAACGTGGCAGCCCGACCACAATCCAGTCCCAGGAGACCTTCACTCTCCGCTCCCGTCAACAACGCAGTGTCGGAGAACGACGACGACTACTACCTGCAGAGAAGTGACTCCACTGACAGTCGCCTGCAGCACGATCTTTTGCGCGGCAGCAGCTCGGGCAATTTCTTCAGCAACAAGAACAGAGGCATCGAGAACCCAGACGACTACGACGATGGCCGGGTGATTTCTTCATCCAAAGACGTGCCAAAGAAGAACACCAAAGCACCGTTCCGGAAATTGTTGACAGGCAAGAAGCCGGTCGCCGAATCTACCACGAGTTATCCGAGCACCGCTTACGGTACCACCGGGACCACTGCCGCACCGCCGTCGCCGCCGCCACTATTACCAGCACCAGCACGGTCAGGCAGCCCAATTACAAGCCGACCACGTACCGAAGCAAAGAAAGCAAAGACCGCGGTCGCGTGAACTATAAGACGTACTTAGACAAGCAAACCAAAGCTGATGAGTATGACAGTCAAAAAGTAGCCAAGCCCGCCACCGCTATTCAGTCCACGACGTTCGCTCCATCAACTGATAACACGTACCAACGCTTACAACCTACCGTGACCGCAACTGCTAACGATAACACGTATCAGACAACGCAGGGATCAATCGCAGTGCAGCAAAATAGTCGGCAAAAGAACAACGATTTCCTGCGCATTGCACCAACAGGAAATAACAACAACAACAATAACAACGGTGGTGGTTTCCAATCAGCCCGGATTAACGTGGCGCAGCCCACTAACTTCCAGACGAACAACGCGTTCCGTCCGGCGAACGACCAGGCTCAGAATTTCCAGCAGAACGCCGTCAACTACAATCAAGGCTTCCAGTCGGACAAAACCACTTACCCCACGACTACGCAAAACTTAAACCCCGCAAACTTCCAGTCCGACAAGATCTTTACGACGACACAAAAGTACATTCAGAACCCAACAACGAACACCTTCCAGCAACAGGGTAGCAACACATTCCAGCCAGGAAATACTTTTCAGCCAGCTGTAAACAATTTTCAGCAAGCTAACAATTTCCAACAATCCAACAATTTTCAGCAAGCCAACAATTTCCAGCAAGCCAACAATTTCCAGCAAGCCAACACATTCCAACCACCAAACACATTCCAACCAGCTAACAATTTCCAGCAATCCAACACATTCCAACCAGCTAACAATTTCCAATCCGTGACTCCCACGGCCCAAAAGTACAACTCGTATCAGCCGTCGTCACCGATCGCATATCAACAGTCCACAAACGTGTTCCAGTCGTCGACACCAAACAACGCGGGCAACTCGTTCCAACAGTCGTCCCAGCAATCACTGTTCCAGTCTACCACCGAGCACTTCTCCAAAGACTTCAAAGCAAAGTTTGACCCGTACAACAGCTACCATCAGAGCACGAACGAAGAGGCGGGCGAGACGCTGAAGACGGCGCCTAGCACGAACCTGAGGCCGAGCGAACTCAACGCACTTATCCAGCCGAGACCTAAGTCGATAAACGCCACGCTGTCGGTTGGGTTTAGTTTCAACAAGGTGGACGGCGGAGTGGCTAAGTCCACGGTCGTCGTACCTGCGCCAACCACGCAAAAGCCAAGGCCTTTCACCACGCAACAGCCCTCCTCGACGACGCAGTTCGTCACCTCAAGTTCTACCAAGGCTTTCGTGAGCACCGGGCCGAGCGGCAGTGCCAAAAAGGCTGTCACCAAAGACAAGGACTCGTCATACGATTATGCGTACTACGACGACAGCAACCATAACGATTACACTGACGTGGTGCCCGAAGACTTTTCCAGAATTCACAACTCGAAAAATTTTTAAGTAAAAACTAAAATACGCCCCTCCCTCCCACAAACTTTCAAAAGCCTTTAAAGTGTAAGTTTTTTGTAAATAAATCGTAGGTTTACGTCTAAAGTAAATAACATCATAAAATTTAATACGCAAATACGTTGTAATGGTATATTATATTCTTCGGCCACGCGAAGCAAATTCTTCAGTGCCAATCAGTTCGACAACGACACGTGGGTCAGACTTAGGTTCCGAGCCCATGGGAAGTTCTCCCGAACAACTTCTAAGAAATCCCAGTAATAGTCCGTCCCTCAAAAGTATTTGTCCCACATTGCAAGTACTCCTCGAGCTACTGGCAATCATACAGGTGCCAATTCTAGTAGCTACATGGCAGGTTCCGGTAGGTATACTACTGTATAGTATTGGATGGTTCACCGTTCACCCTGTTCAGTTATCCCCAGTCGAATGGTACACACATCTGTCGGTTAAATTGGCAGTGCACGAACAATGGTTAACTTTTTATTGTTTTTTTTTTTCGAAAATCAGAATATATATTTTTATTATTTTTTAAATGACTGTTAACTTATAATATTATTGGATTTAAACGAAATACTTTTCTTATTGTATTTCTCTTAGCCACCTGTGGACAAAAAATAAATCAAACTTTAAATCGGAATTGAAAAAAAAATAAATTAAATATATAAAAAATATATTTTAAAATAATAATGTATTAAATATATATTTTATACTTAAGATAAACAATAATAAATTCGTCATGCAGCAGCTGAAAAACTCTTTTAATATGTATTATTATTTATAATTAACCACTTATTGCAACACCTGTCAAATTCTATATTTAAGTGGTATTAAAATTAAATTAAAAATATGTATCTGTTTTATATAAGAACAAAGTTAAAAATTATCTATAATAATACATTAATACATCATTTGTGTATAATGTCATTGTAAAGATTAGATTTATCACTTATTGTTAATTAATATTTAAAATAATAAATACATTTGATTTTTGTATGAATGTTTTGTAATTTAGAAATAAAATTATTCTTTCTTGTGATATAATAAATTTTTGATCCTAATCATTTCCTTGGAATTTAGTGACATATAGTTTTTAGCTAAAGAGCTAAACGCTCTTTAGTTTGAGCACAGTTTCATATGGAATACACAAGTTGATTCAGTTTTCAATTTTCAGAAATATTTCTACATTTTTTTGCTAACAAACCAGTGAATATTATTCTGAATAATGGGTTCTGTTGGAACTTTTGAAGGACAGATATAAAAAGTTCCTAGTCGTTTTGATTATAACCCGGAAAAAAACAAAAAAAAAAAATTAAGGAAAAAACGGTAATTTTACGGCAAAATCTGTATAAGATGACAAAATCGATTTTGTTTTTTTGGTGTAGATAGCTAAAAAAAAATAACCTTAGATATTTTATTTTTCACAAAATATTTATATTTGAATTTTCAAAATTGGCAGATAAATTTTCCAAATGCCCGCTCAATGAAAACTTGTGAGCTACTCTGTTACTGGTTAAAATATTTTTTGTTTATACTTAAATTACCATTATCTGTATATAGTGTTATGAGACCCTCGCCAAGATAATAGGTAGGCTGGTAGGCCCCATCGCCAAGAATATATATAAAGAATATTGATATTTATAGAAAAAAAAACTGAAAATGTCCGAAAATATCTCAAAAAGTGTCAAAATATTTTCAAAATTGTACGATGTATAGAAAATGAAAATATTAACATTCAGTAAAATTTTCATGTATTTACAGTATGAAATGTTGTAAAAATATGAATTTCAAATGCTCATAAAAATTTAATTTGACCTTCTTGTAGACATTTTTTTTTTTTATTTAGGTAGTCAAACTTATGAGGAATCTTGTATTACATTTTCAAATCTTAGATTTAAAAAGAAAATTTTTCATGAATTTCCAACTCAAAAAAATTTACAAATTTTCGTCATTTTACGTATTTTGTAGATATTTGAACTTTAGATGCTTATAAACAAAAATTCTGACTATGGATTTTTAATTTTTTTCATCTGTCTTTGAAACAATAAACTAGGAGCTTTCTATTAAATTTTCAAGCTTTTTTAACCAACAAAATTGAATTGATATTTATAGAAAAAAAAAATGGAAACAGAAAATGTCCGTAAAGAGCTCATAATAAGACAAAATATTTGGAAAATGTTATTTTGTATAGAAAATGCTAATTTAAACATTCAGTCAAAATTGCATGTACCTAAAGTCATTTGTTTAAGAGTTGCGCCAAACACCAAAATCGATTTTCTCGAAAACAGATTTTGAGTAAAAATTACCGTTTTTCTTTAATTTTTCTTTTGTTTACACGGCGCTTTTGAAAACTACTTGGAAATTTTTACTTTTGACCCCCAAAGTACACACTAGATTCACTCTTCTATCATTTTTCAGATATTGTTGAAGAAAATTTAAGCATTTTTACTGTCCCAAAAAGGTGATGACAGACACAAAAATAAAAAAAGTACAGACATCATTGTAAAAGTCAATACATTCGCTCAGAATCTAAAATAACAGTAGAATGACAAACAAATAAATAAAAAACTTCTCGAATCTCTATGACAATATTATGGTTACTTAATTTAAACTAAATCAGCTGTAGTCAATTTAACAAAAATGGTTTGTTAATTCAACTAAACTCAACAGTTGCGTTGGCAATTTATACCAGGAGTGCATGCGGACGGAATTGGCGTGGCACTAACTAAATCAGTTGTAGTCAATTCAACAAAAACGGTTTGTTCAATGAACTAAACCCAACAGTTGGGTTGACAATTTCATGTAAGACATTGGCAATTTATACCAGGAGTGCATGCAACGAACGTGGAATTGCTGAGGCTCTAACTAAATCGGTTTTAGTCAATTTTACAAAAACGGTTTGTTAATTCAACTAAATCGAACAGTCGCGTTCACAATTTCCCGTAAAACATTGGACATTTATATCAGGAGTGCATGCAACGAACGATCTCTGATATTATAGTAACAACACAGGGTTGGTTCTGCTAAACATAAATATTTGCTAAAGTGAGCTGACATCCCCTTAAAAAGTGTCCTGTGGAGACAAACTTCTGTTTTTCAAATAAGAACTTTCTTTTCTATTGATTTAAAAAGAAAATTTTTATGAATTCTCAACTCAAAATAATTTACTAATTTTCGTGATTTTTCAGTATTTTGTCAATGTTTGAACTTTAAATGCTTACAAATAAAAACTATGACTAAGGATTTTTAATATTTTTCAAAAATCATTGTAACAATATAGTAGGAGCCTTGTATTAAATTGTCATGCTTTTTTACCCTACAAATAAAGTTTAATTGATACTCATAGAAAAGAACACTAATAAAGTTGGCAACAGAAAATGTTCCTAAATAGTTCAAAACAAATCAAAATATTTTGAAAATTTTATCGTGTATAGGAAATGTAAATATAAACGACCAGTGAAAGTTTCATGTATATACGAGTACGTTCATTTTTTTTAGCGTTACACCAAAACCCAAAATCTGCGCTTTTACTATTGGGAATTTTAAAATTTGACCTCCCGAATGCACAAACTAGATTCACTTTCCCATCAAACAAGATAGTGTTGAAGAAAATCGAAACAGTTTTACTGCCCAAACTTTGATGACAGACAAAAAATCAATAAAAAACACACACATCTTTGTAAAATCAATACATTCATTGCTCCGCTCTGAATCTAAAATATTGGTTTGGTGAAAAGGTTTTAATGTATACTAAGGTTTATGACCTATGAAACACACTGTAAAATAAATTATAATATGAAACAGATCAAATGATAGGAAGCTTATAAGAAAACCATGAATCAAACATGGGTTAACAACACAAACCTATAATAAATTCCAAATTAATCATATCACATTATCACAATATCCATTAGGTACTTATAACCCGTTTCATCAACATCAATAACAAACCCTGATACTATCATAGTATCATAGATATATAATAGTACACTTTAGAAGTTTTAAGTAGGTACCCACGAATAATATTATATAATCACAACAAAATAACTAGGTTTTTTAATATGTAATTTCGTCCAAATGTGAACATAAAATGACTATAAAAATATACTGTGATTGTATATTTTGTAGATTTTTCGGTAAGAGAATTAACTACTTACGTGGCATCTTGTTTTAATTTTTCAATCCTTAGCTATAAAAACTGAACATTTTATAATTTATTAATTACGATGATTAATAATTTTCGAGATTTTGAAAAATTCTGTCAAAATTCGATGTTTAAATGCTTATAAAAAAAAATTGTGGCTATTTATATTTTATATTTTTCAACTGATATTGTAACAATATATCAGGAGCCTTGTATTAAATGTTTACACTTTTTGGCCAAACAGGTAAAACTTTATTGATATTCATAGAAAAAAAAACTAAAAAAATTGAAAAATGAAAATATCCGTAAACAGCTCAAAAAAAGTCAAAATATTTTCAAAATTTTATGGTGTAGAGAAAATGCTAAAATAAACATTCAATGAAATTTTCATGTATCTATAGTTATTCGTTTATGAATAACAACAAAATAAGGAAATCGCTACATGAGAAATCGAGTGACCATCCAATGTTGTAAAAATTTGAATTTCAAACGCTCATAAAAATTTAATTTGATTGTCCGGTAGAGATTTTTTTATTGATTAAGGTAGACAAACTTATGAGTAATCTTGTATTACATTTTCAAATCTTAGATTTAAAAAGAAAAATTTTTACGAATTTCTTAACTCAAAATAATTTGCTAATTTTCGCGATTTTTCCATATTTTGTCAATTTTTGAACTTTAAATGCTTAGAAAAAAAAACTGTGACTAACGATTTTTAATATTTTTCATCTCCCTCTGAAACAATATACTAGGAGCCTTGTATTAAATTTTCAAGTTTTCGCAACCAACAAATAAAACTTTATTGATATTTTTAGAAAAAAAACTAAAAAAAAATTGAAAATGAAAATGTCCC